ACTGTTTATCCCCTCCCCAGTCCTTGTGGGCCTCAGGAACACTATCTAGAACCACCTGGAGCAAAACTGTGCCACCCCTTCATGGGATGCTATTTACCTTTGTGCCATGGAAAGCTTCAGCTGCTCATGGACACCCAGTAAGTTTCTGTTAAAGGGGCATTTTTCTCCAGTCCTGTTGGCAACCTTAGATCTGCTCAATGAGGTGATTTTGCAGTACATGTCCAGTTAGGCATACATCATTGACTCCACAAGAGGCTTGGCTGGCACAAAACATTAGCGCTTTATGCAGCTTTTCATCAATGTTTAAACAACATTTACTATTTTATCAGCAAGGACACTTCCCTTTGCAATTGTTACCATTCTTTGTACAAAACTAATTCAAAAGTCACAGTTTAACGGTCTTGCAGCTAGAAACACAAACTAGAGCACAGAAGTTTTTGCAAAGGACACTGGGCCATTAGCAGAAATGCATATGTTATGACTTTTTAAAGATGTTGGGGGGAAAGAAAGCAAGACTGCAAGAAAAATGTGCTGACAAGTTGTTACAGAATTCCAAACCTGAGGTTATAGCTCACCAGCAAGACTCATCAGATATCTTTTAAATAGCTCACAGGGGGTATGCACTGGCTATATTATTTCACATAAGCTTGCAGCTACTGCCAGTGCAAATCAGCTCAAGGTGTCTTTTGTATGCTAAGAAGCAACCGCTGTTAGAATAACACAGTTGGGAGGTAATGTCGTGCTTCTACCCATGATCTCTGTAAAGCTAACAAACAGAACACATTGCTGCATGTCTATCAAGACAAAGCCATATGAAAACCAGAAAGAGACAAGGAAGCTTCATTGGCAAATTTGGAGGAAGATGTTAACTCCCCCACTCCAGCTCTTCAATACAATTTTCTCCCCCTTGAAGCTATTTTTATAAATCATCAAGAGATCCAATGGCTCTGCTGCATAAGACATAGTTTGGCCTTCAGGTGCCAATAATTAAACCCAATTCTATACTAAGCGGAAAAATTTGTGCCGATATACTATGATTGCTTGCAACCAGCAAGATCCTATGGATGCTGGAAGTAAGTAATTCCTAAAAACAAACATTACCAAGAATTGTTGTATTTCTAAGAGTGAGAAACAGGTTATTTTAGAGTTATTGGTAGTTCAAGTTTATGCCACAGGTATGCTATTGCCAATCTTGTCATGTTGTTTTCATGTGAGGCTTATTGTTGTAACAGGTTATATTTTATGGTTCTGATAAATAAAATTTAATTTTTTTAAAAAAGATGTTGGAAGTAAGATCCACTGTATCTAATGAAGTCTGCAGAAGACTGCAAGACTGTTGGTTAAGTCCCATGGAATGCAGTGTACCTTCTGCATAAGCACATGCCATGCTGGAAGGCTAAGAGCAGCTACAGAATAAAAATTATTTTGAAAATCTTAATTTATTGTAATAAAAGTTTGATATTCTAGATTTACATCACTGCTATTTCTGTTTTTTCTTGAACATGCTGACCGTTCCTCCCACAGAACAATTATTTCTTTAAACTTTAAACGTACTGGTTACTGTGCATTCTCTTGTTTGATCATTTTTGTACAGTTCACTTAATGAACCTTTTCAAGTCTCCATTCCAAGGAGACTATGAAATTGGATAACAGCTAATTTTCTGAATGTGACAATCAGAACTCTGGTCTACACATTATTATGGGGGTTAATGTAACTGATCTCAAAGTCATTCAAATGTCAGGAGAGGTTGCTAGTGGTTTTATTTGGCTTTGTCTCAGGAGGTGGGTGGTGGAGTGGTTCTCGGGTCACTAACCTATCCTGAAGGAATATGCAAAACTTCATTATTCAAGAGAGCTTTTCTACAAAGGTAATAGAGTTACACTGTACTAAATGTGTTTAGCTTGCTGAAACTAGCTTCTAGGGAAGTCTCCCTAGAAGCTAAAATGACTGAACTGAGGCTATGTAATTTTGCATCATTTAATGTGTCATGTTATTACTTGTGTTTTGCTTCAGTTCTGTTTTTAGACTCCTGGGTGGCTCTACAGCCCTAATCCTTGTTTACTGAATGTCCCATCCTGTCAATTGTATTGTAATCCACCTTGAATCCAAGTGAGAAAAGTGGACTATAAGTAATGTTTTTTAAAAATGTTGCCAGTGCCAGCTTTACAAACAACCGCTGTAGCTGTGCCTTTAGGAACAACTAAATGTGCCAGCATTAGTCACCGATGATGCATTGATGAGTTTCAGCTGTTGATTTCTGCAGATAATGCTGCTCTTAGAGGTATTGCAGCTGGCTAGGCCAGTTTTTCAGGTCAGCTGGCAAGCTTAAAACAATTAATAGCATATACATTTATAAGCATATTGAGTTTAAGGATATTATGTTCTATTAGGAAGTTCTGCCTATTCACTGGAGCAGTAGATAGGAACTATGAGAGTTTGGAGATACGATATTGTTATACGCACAGTTTATGAAACACTGTTATGCACTCAACACTCTGTCTGACTTAGTAGACTAACTTTAGTGGACTCAGCACCTTTGACATACACAGACATACAGATATGTTAAGTGCCACTGATTATTCTAATTACAGAAACAGAAATGCTAGTTGTAACTGCGCATGTCCCTGATGTCAGTTAGCTTGCGTTAGATGGAAACCATACTACACGATGTACCCATATCTGTTACATTAGATACTTTTAATCACTTCATAGCCTGGGAAGAAGAAGGCCCATTGTTCAACTGAAGGAGGTATATTTTTGCCTGAGAAAGTCCAACCTACAGGCCTGGGCCCAATCAGAATGGTGTGACGGATGTATGACAAAGTTTGATGGAACCAATAATTATGATTTATTTCTAAGTGTCATAGGGGGTATAAAATCTTATGTCTCCCATTGTAACCTTAGGGAGAGCTGTGGGATCCAAAATCTTGTTGAACCCGTGCTTCCCTCCTTTATTAATAAAGTTCTATAACTGGTTCTACTCTAAAGGATTGTGCTGAGTGTTTTCTCAAATTGGGCTGGGGAAACACAAACTGAAGACGGGATTTCTGTCTAACAATATTGAACCCATTAAATGCTGCAATTGGGCATACATTTATATGGAAGAAAGTCTCAGCAGACTGATTTTTCATGAACAAGACCTACCCAAGAGGTATCTGTGTCTTCTAATTGCCACATGCCTTGTTTTTTAAACATATTGATTCCTTAGTCTGCTTCATTAAAGGACAGCTGTATTTTCTAGTGACCTGGGAAAGCATTTTTTCCTTAAGATATATAGGCCAGTGACCATGTGTGGATTGATTTTGTTGTTCTCTTATTTGTCATATTGCTTGGTTAATCTGAAGCAGTGTGTTCTAGAGGCACCTTTGGGTGTGTTCTAGAGGTACCTACTTGTCTGCTAACAGCATAATATAGTCCAGATTATGTGGTTCAGGAATTGGTATTAGGAAGATTTTGTTTTGGGACCAGTAGCCTTTTGCCCAAATAGTATTTCACTCATTAATACAGCAAAATGGCCTTGACACACCACAGCAGCTTCATGCATTTCAGCAGGCTATCTTTATTATTGACTTTAAAAACAGCTCTTTTTGGCAATGGAAGACAGCTCTCCACCCATCTAAAATGCAGGAGGACTGAAGCACACAGCAATCTCAAACAAATCTCGTAGTGCCTAGGAAGTCTGATTTCTGAATGGTTATTTTTTTTCTTGGTTGTTTAATAATCAGGTACCTACATAAACTCAAGCTTTTTCCTGCAGCACCACTGGAACCCTGGGAAGAGATTGTTTTTCAGATGTTTACCTAGAAGGCTAGTCCTTAAAATAAACCAAAACTTTCCCATTAACAGAAGACACCCACTTCACACCACGCTATGATGTTTTCATCTTCCTGTGCAAACCACCCAGATGATAAGAGTGTGCCAAGGTATTTGGGGGCAGTGCTATTTTACCACTAGTAGCCAAGACTTCTGTAATGGTTTGGTCACATTTGCCACTTCCCTGGACAAAACCATAAGCACAGTCTGAGTTTTTTAAACTCCTGAGTCAAAAGACACTTCATGTGCAATACTGTCTACATAAATAGCTGCATAGCAGCAACAAATTTGACAGGCACAATAGAACTATGCTAGAAGTGAAGCCACATTCTGTCTAAATCCATTCCTGCAACCATTAAAGATGCTGGAGCATCTTTCCAGATATAGGAAATAGGATGCAGGTTCCTGGACTTCTCTTTCACTTCCAGTCATTTCTTTTACACAGCACAGAATAAAATCATCAAGGCAAACCAGCAATTTGGGAAACTCTGTGTTTGGAAGGTTACCATCATACCCTGTTCTGTACTGCCAACAATGAAGACTAAACCCCATGTGCCTGACAGAGATTAGATTTGAAGAAGAGATTGGATTTATACCCCACCCTTCACTACCCAAAGGAGTCTCAGAGTGGCTTACAAACTCCTCACCCCACCCCAGACAACCTGTTTGGTAGGTGGGGCTGAGAGAGCTCTTTCCAGAACTGCTCTTGAGATAACAGCTTTGAGAGAACTTGTGACTGACATATGTAAGAGTGGGGAATCAAACCCAGTTCTCCCAGATTAGAGTCCGTGCTCCTAACCACTACACCAAACTGGCTCTGAATTTGGTTAAATTCTTCTTAAAAGAGCTTTTAAAAGTCCAGCTCTTTTACCCTGCTATTTTTACTAAGCTATGCACAGAGAAAGATATATATGTGTGCACCTCCCTCACATATAACACATTATTATATACGCATTTTATATTTTTTTAAAGTTGCACACACCCCTTCAACATGCATGTGACTGTAGTTGTCCCCCCCCCCTTCTGTCAGAACTTCCGCTTTCTCACGGAGTCGTTCCTTCCCTTCAGTTCTGTGGTCCGGACGGACGATCGAGAAAGCCAATCAGAGCCTCCGTTAGAGCGAGAGCTTCTCCCTTTCTCTCCTAGTCTCCCAATCACCGGCCTCCTCACATCGCCTCAGAATCCGGAGTCCGCCGTTGCCCCTGCCGGAAGGCCTGCTCTCGCCGGAGGCCCCGTTTCTCCCCACCCCACCCCACCCACACACACCTGAGGGGATTCCACAGGCGACGGGATCGGGGCCAGTTCGGGAGCGCCCCTCACGGTGTCCCCCGCGGAGGGGGCGGTTAGTTGGCCGCCCGCCTGCTCTGCCCGCGCGAAATGAGTGATGAGCCTGGTGGGTCCGCTCGACGTGAAGGCGGGGGCGGCAGCCGGGACCGTCGGCGGCCTGGCTCCGGGTAAGGGCGTGGAAAGGTCTCTTCGGGGCGTGAGTTGTTTGTCACGGACGGACCCACAGCCCCGCTCCCCTTTCCAGGCACGGCTGGCGCTGCTGGTTTTGACCCGTTTGCCCGGGGAGGGGGGTTGGGGGGAGGTGTTTAAATGACACACGCCGGAGACTCTTGACTTCGAAAGGCCCGCTGCCGCCGCCGCCGCCCTGCGCAGCTCAGCTGCAAAGAACATAAACAGGTGTATTGTAGGAGCGTCTGATCTGAAGGGCCCCCCCAAAAAAAGTTCTAATTTTTTATGGATCGGAGTCCCATTTCTTTGTTTTTTGAAAAGGAAAACAAAACTGTCGACTGGCACCAAATGCACAGAGAAGCGGGCAAGACTTTCCCACCGCTTTTGTTCCTTCGCCTAGCAGTAAACCTTCGCTACACCAGTTTGGTGTAGTGGTTAAGTGCGCGGACTCTAATCTGGGAGAACCGGGTTTGATTCCCCACTCCTCCACTTGCACCTGGCTGGATGACTTTGGGCAAGCCATAGCTCTGGCACAGCTGTCCTTGAAAAAGAGCCGTTTCTGTCAAGAGCTCTCTCAGCCCCACCCACCTCCCAGGGTGTCTGTTGTGGGGAGGGGAAGGGAAAGGAGTTTGTAAGCCGCTCTGAGACACCTTTGGGTAGTGAAGGGCGGGGTACAAATCCAGTCGCTTCTTCTAATGTGCAGTGCAGCTCTTTGCGGAGTTATGCTTGTCTAAGCCCACTGGTTTCAATGGGTTTAGGCTGGAGTAACTTTGCATACGGCTGCATTGATACTTTATTCAGGGTCCAGTTGCTTAAATCTTCTGCATCTGTGGTTTAAGGTACAGCAATAAAGACAATTAAAAGTTGTCTTAACTTGTGAGAGAGAGGATGGAGCTCGAGGGAGCTGGGGCAGATAGGGATTTTAACAGGCGCAAGATTTCCAAGGTATGAACTTTTGAGAGTGAGAGCTCCCTTTAAGAACATAAGAACATAAGAGATGCCAATGTTGGATCAGGCCAAAGGCCCATCCAGTCCAACACTCTGTATCACACAGTGGCCAGAAATACCAGGTGCCATCAGGAGGTCCACCAGTGGGGCCAGGACATTAGAAGCCATCCCACTGTTGACCCCCCCAAGCACCAAGATGACAGAGCATCACTTGCCCCAGAGTCCCTATCTATACCTTGTGGCTAATAGCCACTGATGGACCTCTGCTCCATATGCTTATCTAATTCCCTTTTGAAGCCGTCCATGCTTGTAGCACCCACCACTTCCTGTGGCAGTGAATTCCATGTGTTAATCACTCTTTGGGTGAAGAAGTACTTCCTTTTATCCGTTCTAACCCGACCGCTCTGCAGTTTCATGGAGTGCCCATGAGTTCTTGTATTGTGAGAAAGGGAGAAAAGTACCTCTTTCTCTACCTGCTCTTTCCCATGCATAATCTTATAAACCTCAATCATGTCACCCCTCAGTCATCGTTTCTCCAAGCTAAAGAGCCCTAAGCGCCTTAACCTTTCCTCATAGGGAAAGTGTTCCAACCCTTTTATCATTCGAGTTGCCCTTTTCTGCACTTTTCCCAAAGCTATAATATCCTTTTTAAGGTGTGATGACCAGAATTGCACACAGTATTCCAGATGAGGTCGCACCATTGATTTATATAGGGGCATTATGATATTGGCTGATCTGTTTACAATACCCTTCCTAATAATCCCCAGCATAGCATTGGCCTTCTTTATTGCAGTCACACACTGTCTCGACATTTTCAGTGAG